CGTAATGGAAACACAGGCGGGTAGAGCAGAGCCGAGCTGAGTAGAGTAGAGCAGGGACAAGTAGGGCTGGTGGAAACAGGGCTTAAGTAACTAACTAACTACCAGAAAGGAAAGTGAAGATTGAAAACTGTAGGGATTGTGTGAACGCTATAGGATTTAATATATAAAAGGAATTAATTTCTCATATTTTTCTATCATTTGTTTTACATGTACTGTTTTTGGGCCCGCATCTATCAGATAAACCAGATTCCCAGGAGTTCATAGGGATTTGTATGGACAATTTAAAGTCATATCAAATCATCATATTGTACTTTATCTACATGAACAGTATCGTCTTGGCATCGACCATCCTCAAACAAGAGGGACGACAGATGAAGTGGGCTCGCCTCTATAATCGGAGATATCTATGCAGCGGAGATTTGATTACACTTTCCTTGTCAAACGAATAAACAAAATCAAACAAATCATGTCGGACCGGAGCTTGGCCCGTGGATCTATGAACACACTTTGGGGGAAATGGCTTTATCAGAAAGGACAATAGAGTGATCGATGCTGGAGGTGGGTATAAATCAAAAGTTGAAGAGTCTACTCGGCTTGATTACTTTTACGACAGACCTCACCTACACTCTCAGTATCAGCCTTTGGGGACTTCCTTGGTTTTAAGCGAGTAGGCAGGTGTTTCCATGTTCAAGTGAAAGATTTATGATAGTACTAATCCCTCCATTAAATAAAAAGTGCTGTGCTGGAGGGCGCGTCCTTACTTCTTCCCTCCTCGGGGCGATTTGGTCTAAGCACGAGGAAATAAAAGACAAAAAAAACGCTATTTGAGGTCATGTGTGGGGAAGATGTTGGCATGTTTTACCAGAGAGAGTGAAGAGAGAGCAGAGAGAGAGAGAAGAGAGAGAGACCAGAGAGAGAACAGAGAGAAAGACCAGAAAAAGGTCAGAGAGAAAGACCAGAGAGCAGTTTTGTGCCAGTTCAGAGCTTTCATGAATGAGCTCAAGTTCAGTTTATACATGCTCAAAAAGAACAGTTCACGTTCAAAGTTCACAATTTTAATTCTGAACTAGTTAAAAGTTCAGTTCATTTTTCGTTTTTCCAGAGATATTCAAATAAATACTTTTTTTCACACTACGAGCTAGAAAACCCCTATATGTATCACTGTACAGTGATATATCCTGTACAGTGCTCATATATACAGTATATATATTTATATACACCGCACAGGATGAGAGCCTTTTGACTCCATAACAGACAAGATGTCTGAACAGCGCTGCAGAACGTGTGTCTATACTTTATGTCAAATGTAAACGGTTGACCCTGTGTTGCCAACTTACCCTTTGTTTTCATCACGACTCGGCACATGTGAGTCCAACAACCAATGAAAAGCACTAGCATACAGCGCCGCACCGGCTCAACACGGAGTGCGGAAGATTCTCACTTTATTACATTGCCGTCTTCCGAGGGTGGGCACTGGGGGTGGCAAGGGTATTTTCAGAGGTGGCAATGGCTTCCCAGGCTCCCCCTCTGGCTCCGCCATTGGTCTGGTGATACATGATTTAAGCGCAGCACCAGCGAGAAAAGAGGAGGGAGGGACTTTCTCTCGTTGCAAAAGAAAAAAACAGATGTCACTCAGTTTTCAATGGAAAACAAATTCCAACGTTCATTTACAGTGATGTCTGTCGTTCATGACACATAATGTGAACTAATTCACGTTCAAGTTCTTTATTAAAACATGTGTTGCGTTCAGTTCAACGTTCACCAAAAAATGAGCGTGTTCTCTCTGGTCTCTCTCTGCACAAGACTGCCAGAGAGAGACCAGAGAAAGACAAGAGAAAGAATAGAGAGAGAGACCAGGGAGAGACCTTGTTTATAAATTTCCCATTCTGAGTTTTTTATAAACAAGGTTGCGAGAATTGCTGGAATATCTTGCCTTTCAGTTGCAGCGGTTTAACGTCTGGCTCGAGGCCGAGGCAGTTTTTTTTTTCACAGATTGGGTGAGAAATGTAATGTGAAATAATAGCACTTTCCAAAAAGTGCGGCAAGAAAGATGGTTACGTGGTTAAAAGTGGCGAAGAGAGAGTGCATGGGAAATCTAGAGTGATCACTGCTGCTTCTGAGGTGACTCCTGAGATTGTACTGTAGATCATAGGCTGCTCCTTTTAATGGAATTCTCACAGACTCGAAAGACAGATGCTATTTCTCTCTCTTCTGTCACAAACTACAGGCCGGGGAAAGTTATGGATGCGTTTTTAGTCGTGCCCTGAAGCAGAAGTTTAAAAGAGCAATATGGCTTTAAAAAAAAAATATTATACCGGGCATATTTGGTCGTTGCCACGTTGTGTTTACAAAGGCTGTTGTGTTGAAGCATGAATGTGACTTGGCGTTTTTTAATCTCAGACATTATTGTCCTGAGGTGTTACTGTACGTTATTCCATGTTTGTCGTCATTTGTGAAACTTGGGAATCGATGTTTTGTGTTTTTCTTGTAATTTTGGCTTTTTATTTACAGTGTGCCTTATGTGTTCTCCAACAACGTCATATGCAAAAACATGACATGACAAGTTTAACATGACTGTTATCTTTATTTTTAGTCAGGAGAAAACTTGTATGGCTTGTGTGCCTCGCTAGTTCAGAGGACTCTCTCTCTCTGGTCTCTCCCTAGTCTTTCTCTGGTAGCTCTCTGGTCTCTCTCTCTGGTCTTTCTTTGGTCTCTCTCTCTGGTCTCTCTGTGGTCTCGCTCTGGTCTCTCTCTGATCTCACTCTAGTCTCTCTCTGGTTTCGCTCTGGTCTCTCTCTGATCTCACTCTAGTCTCTCTCTGGTTTCGCTCTGGCTTCTCTCTCTGGTCTCGCTCTTGTCTCTCTCTGGTCTCTCTCTGGTCTCTCTCTCTGGTCTCTCTCTGGTCTCTCTCTGGTCTCTCTTTGGTCTCTCTCTCTGGTCTCTGTAGTCTTTCGCTGATCTCTCTTTGGTCTCTCTCTAGTCTTTCTCTAGTATCTCTCTGTTCTCTCTCTCTGGTCTCTCTTTGGTCTCTCTCTGGTATCTCTCTGTTCTCTCTCTCTGGTTTCTTTTTGGTCTCTCTCTGGTCTCTCTCTCTGGTCTCTCTCTCTCTGGTCTCTCTCTGGTCTCTCTCTGGTCTTCCCATAGCCTTCGGTCCTGCTGCTGTCCCTCAGCGTGGTCTCCTCTGCAGCTGTATTTTACAGTGCATGCACGGCTTTTGACAGCTGCAGCAGTGCTCCGACCTACAACCAACAGATTTGGTATTTCCTCGATCGCAGTCTTGAGTTCAAGTCAGTGGGGGAGGGTCCCAGCTCAAAAATGACGTGCGCTGACATGCTGCAATACCACCCCGGGCCGTTGGGGGTGGACCCAGAAGAAGAATTAGCCAATGCTAACATATAGCGTTAGCAGACCTCTCAAAAACGTCTTTACAAGATGGTCCAAAAGTTGGCTCTTGGCCCAAAGCTCTGTTCCACATGTGTCTCAATGCTGAGGGGGGTGAATTTTTTTGGTCCACTATAGTTTACTCGCGGGGAATTTTTGAAGTCTCTCGTTCAAATGAATGGAGCTGCGCCGGCTGACGCATGAGCAGATGCGTTTTTTCACAATTTTCTTGTGGGCGGGACCACTCGCGGCCATCTTGGATTGCTCCATGAAAGCACTTTTCATGGCCAACTCCTATGAACGGCGGAGATAGGCGTGACTCTGTCCATTAATATATACAGTCTATGGTTCAAGTGCTTAGAAAAGTGCACAACTTTCCCTGGAGAACGTCTTTATAGAGATTAGAGATAGACGTTGCTTAAAAATATTTTGTAAACTCAATTTCCTATCCTTCTGCAATCCTTATCTGGGTTATAAATCCTCTTCTCAGCATCAAGTCTACGTAAGCTTTTAAAAAAACTATCAATTACTGTGGGGGCGACAAATGGTCGTGGGGTCGAGCCCACCACGACCCATACCAAAAATGCCCCCATTGATGTCTGCTGTCGTTGTGTCCCTGGGCAAGACACTTAACCCCACATTGCCCGAAGCTCCCGCTGAAAGACCAAGGGCATCTCGTTGAGACTTGGGTGGCAGCTCTGATTGCCACCCCCCAGACCCAGATATGGACTAATAAAGGGGTAGAAAATGACATGACATGACATGATCAATTACTAAAATAAAATAATGACCCTCACTGGTGTCAAATCACAACACAAGCACAACACAATCTTCTTCAACTATATTTCCTCACAGCCCAGAACAAAGAATAGGAGTTTTGAGACAAGCAGAACAACAGAAGTATCAGAAGCACCTCTGACCCATGAAGCAGACACAAAGCTAATATTACTGTCTGTCAGAGAGGAGAGAAGTGCTCCCTGAACCTCCATGGCCTGTGTGGGGCGTTCTCCTTATGTCACTCAGTCTGCGAGGAACAGACGAGAGAAGCAGTGGATCTGGAGGAGGCGTGAAGTGAAACCACAGACCGCCAGGTGCACAGAGTCCGCCCCGGTCCAGACGGAGCAGGAGGTCACCGTCTGACAGATGAGGCTGCGATGGAGACTGGGAGAGAGCGGATCGGACAGGCCATGAAACTAGCATCGGTCTTTAATGTTCACTCCTTAGAGAAAGTAAAGTCATTTTTCTAAGATTTTCTAAGCTGTAGGACACAAGATGTTTTTTTAACCCCTAGTTTTTAAATTATAGACCTTATAAAGCGCTTTGGGTAACTTTGGTCTGTAAAATGCACTACATAAATAAAAATTACTTACTAACTTACTTCAAATGGTTAAGATTGAGATTAAGGGGAAAAGGGCCTAAAACCAAGTCATAGAAATGCCCCATCTGTAGATTTCAGTTCCAAGTAGGTATAGTGACTCAAAAAGGGATCTACCAAAAAGTTAAGGAAACTATTAAAAGGTCAGGGAAGATTTCCTCATAATTTGGTTCCTTCAGTGTATTTAAAAAATCACAATTTGGATGGACACTATTATGTATATGAATGTAGTCTTAGTCCAGAGATGGGTCGTTATGTTTCCTATACTTTTAACGCGGACGACACCACCCTCATTGGACTCATCTCCAACAACGATGAGTCCGCCTACAGGAGGGAGGTGGACCGGCTGGTGTCCTGGTGCAGTGGTAACAACCTGGAGCTGAACGCCCAGAAGACAGTGGAGATGATTGTGGACTTCAGGAAGAGCACTGTCCCCCCGCCCCCACCTTCCGTGATGGACTCCCCCATCACCTCTGTGGAGTCCTTCCGTTTCCTGGGCACCACCATCACCCAGGACCTCAAGTGGGAGCCGACCATCAGCTCCCTCATCAAGAAGGCCCAGCAGAGGATGTACTTCCTGCGGCAGCTCAGGAAAGCCAAGCTGCCTGCACAGATGTTGGTGCAGTTCTACACGGCCATCATCGACTCCATCCTCACCTCCTCCGTCACCGTGTGGTTCGCTGGAGCCACAGTCAGGGACAAACAGAGACTACAGCGCATCGTGCGCTCTGCAGAGGAAGTGATCGGCCGCAGCCTTCCATCGCTGCAGGACCTGTACGTCGCCCGAGCTCGAGGCCGGGCTGGTCGTATCACAGCCGACCCCTCTCACCCTGCACATGGACTATTCCAACCACTCCCCTCAGGCAGGAGGCTGCGGTCCATCAGGACTAGAACCTCCCGCCACAAGAACAGTTTCTTCTCCTCTGCTGTTGGACTCTTGAACACTTCTTAACCTGTCCCCCCGCCCTTTATAAAGTCACTTTACTGCCCATCATACGTCACTTTACTTCACTGTACTGCTGTCACCTTACATTGTGTGCACCATGTGCACTTGTATATTGTATATAGTAATTTAACTCTATTTTAAATTTAAATTTATTCTTTAGTGTTTTTTATTCTTATTTTTATTATCTCTTTTTGACTGTTGCACTGAGCCAAAGCAATTTCCTAGTCTGTGACTTCCTGTTACTTACGTGGCAATAAAAATGATTCTGATTCTGATTCTGATTTATTATGGCAAGGGTAAAGCAAGATTGTTTGTGTAGCACAGTTCACAATGTTGTCTAGTCCAGTGGGTTTTTACTGCAAAAGGCAAACCCATTGATTCTGATTTAGAGTTTCAACTGTAACTCTTGATCCCTATCATGTCCAGTCAACTCAAACATTCTGGGATGAATCAATCAAACCAATTTGAACTCACAAATAAAATACGGCCCTTTTTGGTTTTTTTCAGGTCATTTGCCTCAGCAGTGACAAGGGGAATTGTTAAAACCCAAAAGGAGTTAATATTTCTAGTCTATTACACCCGATTCCTACAGACACCTGCCATAGCCTTCTTTATATCAACCATAGAAAATGTGAGCCAATTTTAATTTTCTCTGTAATGATTTTTCTCTTTCTCATAACTAGAGTAAGAGTAATTCGGGGCCAAAACGGGAACTCAGCTTTGCAAAATAAGATAAAGAGATTTTGTCCCACAGTTACATACAGTAGGAATGAGGAGCACACAGCACAAGATAAATTAATAATTACTCTTTACTAAAATAACTATCATAAAAGGAAGCAGTATAAAAATCTCTATCTTTAGCATAACAAGGAAAGAAGTCTAAAATCAGGTAGGGAGTGAGTTGTGTTGCCGGGCAGAACATAACGAAGCGGAACGAGGGCGAACAGCTGTTTGAGCAGGACTTCCAGCTCGCACGCCAAACAGGAAGCAGTGCAGAGTGCAGGCTACGGCCCCAACGGTCACCTGCTTCCTCTCCCACTTACGCTAAGAGTGTTAGACAGAAGTGAACGATAACAGCTGTTACACAAAGCGAGTCATGTGCCGCAATAGATGACAGTGAGCAGAATGTGAAGCAACTTTTGACCACGCAATTAGAATATGAAGTGATATGGCTGTAAAGTTATTAGATTCTGCCTCATGTATTGTTTGTATAGACACTTTAAGACATTTTATTTATCTTGTATATGTTGTGTGTTTATAATCTATACTTCAAAATACCGGGTGCATGTTGTCTCTCTTTTCTCTGCATTGCTAAGTGTGACTTTTGCTTTGAAATGAAGTGCACTGTGCTACTTTGTATTTGTGTGAATGTGAAATACTAGTCTATTGCCTTGATGTGTATGTATGTGTGTATGTGCATGCATCAAACTGAAATTTCTCCCATTGTGGGACGAATAAAGGACCTTCTTTTTCTTCTTCTATGTATTTTTCTCTCTCAAAAACTATATATTTTAGTTGAATCTATAGATATTATATTTTGGTTGTTGTTGTCCTGGACTTGTGTGCTGTCTTTTTGTAACATCTATTTCCTATCGTTCTAACTATGGCTCTAAAACAGTTCTATCGCTACAGTTTTCATGTAATTCTAGCCTCTGGCACATCTTCAGACACAAAAAATTAAGATGTGAAGATGTGATTGGCTGATCCACCCTGCATTCAGCCAATCAGCTCTCGACAAATTATACTCAGTTTTCTGTGTGATTGAGCTGAGTATAATTGTATCGGTTAAGAATTTATCTTGATTTTTAGGATTCAAGCTTCTGCAGTCATCGGTGTGGAGTGTAAACAAGACGGGTGAGCTTACTGCCCCCTGCGGTGCATTGAATGGAGATTTACCTTCAGCCGTTCAAATCTGAGGGTATTAGATGCTGAACTAAAATCCATGAACAAGACCTGTACATTTGCGGGTGTTTCAACTCCCCTGATTCTCAAATCTCATCGCTATTGCCACTTTTTATTGTACATGATGATATCCTGCACAGACTATATTTTTAACCTTAACAAGTTTGCACACTTCTGTCTTTTTCTCCAATCTGAGTGATTCCACCTATGCCAAATGTGACATTGTGAGATCAATAAAGTTTATCTCATCTTATCAGTGAGACTTTCCTGGTTAACCCTTGTGCTACCCTGGGGTCAAAATGACAGACAGACAGATGAAGAAAAATACCCTGAATTAGGACCAAAAGGTTCTAAATTACCCAGGGCTTGTCAAGTTAGGAAAAAACCATCAAAACTAAGCAAGATTTTTTGTAATTTTGGGTATTTTTTTAAACCCGAGGAAGGGAATAAAAATCAATAACAAAGAACTCAAAAGCCCATCTGTTATTAGCATTACCGTAGAGTCCTCCAAACAAACTCAAAATGCACATCTTATGGACCCATGAGTCATTCCTTATGGAGACCTTTTATCAAACTCTGTCTCTGAGGTTGAGCATCTGACGCATGCATCTCCTCTCTCTTCACCTCAGCCTTGGTTCTCCTCCTTTGTTTGTGTCGGAGCCAAAACAACAGCGTCTTCACTTCTGTGTTCTGTCGGTGAGAGACGCAAAACAGGAAACAGCAGCGGTCGTGCCAGAGCCGTGGATTAGTGTAGATTAATTGAACAAAGCGCATTATTGATCTTAATCAATTTTAAAATAGAGTCACTTCAAACAGACGGTTCCTGGGAGGATGGATGTAGGAGCGAGGGCACTAAGAACTGACGGCGAAGAACTCCTCCGAGCGTCTTGTTGTGAGCATAGAGCTAATTAACATCTTGTCAAGTCGCCCGCCTGAGATCTGTAATAGATTTGGCTTGAGCTGACATTTGTTACATGCTTTCAAGTAGTCCAAGCGTTTAGCACGAGACAAAAATGCAATTCAAATTACATGATGACTAAAGCAGAGATCATTTGGCTTCTTTCTTTTTTTTTTACGTACACTTAGGCCTGTCACGATAGTCAATAAATCAATTAATCGCACGATAAATAAAATTTGCTCAATAACTTTTCTGGCCGCGATAAATCCGATTTGCATGCTTGTTTGTTTTCCCCGTCTCTCTCTCCCCTCTCTCTCGGGTCAGAGAGCCGCAAAGTGGTCAGGGGAACATTAGCGGTCTAGCAAGCAGACGGATATTACTCAAAAATACAAAATATAGCCAAAACAGGACCTAAACCAGGACTTAACCAGGATTGACAATGGGGGACACAGTAGTTGTGAACATATGCCGGCAGCTGAGTTCTCATTCAGGCTTGATTAGTGACTATACTAGCGCAGCTAGCGTTAGCGTGTTCGCCGATGCAGAAGTACTGTACCGTACCAATAAAATAAACTTATGGCGCACCTCCGTGAACACATTCTGCTGTTATATAAAGTCTCTAGAAGGTCTCTGAACACAGAGATGCTGCAGACTTGCATTCTTGGAGTAGAACTTTACACAAAAAACCCGCTAGCTTAGCTGTTATCTTCAAAGCCCGCCCCGCTACTTCCGGTGGGCGCTACCGCAGCAGGACTTCTGTACGCCCCATTGGTGAACCCACATGTCAGTCACTTGTCATTCGCCTGGTGTGTGGGGAGGTGGGACTACTGGCGTAGCCCACAGAGTGCAGCTGAGGAGCCGCGAGAGAAGTTTACCGGTAGGCACTACGCAGAGAGAAAGCTAGTTGCGAGTACGGGACAAAACGATGGAATTGGTTTCCAAGCCAAACGCGACAGCTGCAGTGTGGGAGCATTTCGGATTTAAACCGAATGCCCGTGGTGAACCACTGAACATGTGCGAGTCGGTGTGTCGCATTTGTTGGAAAACAGTTGCAGTTAAAAGCGGCAACACAACAAACTTGCATATGCATCTAAAACACAATCAGTTTATTGTGTTCTAGCGTTAAATATTCGTTAAAAATAAAAGTTTATTTCTCTTTGAAAAGGTGTACCTGCATTATCATTGTAATCGATGCAAATGATCTCAGAACGACAATATAATCGCTTATCGCAATAATTTCTGAGACAATTAATCGTCCAGCAAAATTTGTTATCGTGACAGGCCTACGTACACTACAACTGTGATAATAATGTCCAAAGATGACATTTTATACAGTTTTGTCAAATAGCAGCGATGGCAAAAATGGAACAAATGGAACATGTACATTTCTCCACTGTGAGATCAAAAAAGTTTTATCTTATCTTATCGTATGTAATTTTTGCTATTTCTTTTCACACACAGGACAGCAAAAGAATAAAAAATAATAATAATCTACGCGTCAAGGAGATCTTCAAATCGTCTATAACTGCCATGAGCCCACTGGAATTTATAGCAGTATCTTAGCTTCACATTGAAAATTAAACTATAGACCGTGCTTTTAATGATATTTAAAAAACAATATGCGGAAATTCAGCTTCCGCTCAACTGATCTCAAAGTGCAACTGTTTAAATCCTACTGTACACCACTGTACATGGCCCCCCTGTGGACAAACTATAAAAGAGCCAGTATGCACAAGCTGCAAGTGGCCTATAATGACGCTTTTCGAGTGCTTATGGGAAAGCCACGTTGGACCAGTGCATCTGAGTTGTTTGTCACCTCACGAGTGAACACTTTACAGGATGTGCTGAGGAACCTTATGTACAGTCTCATTTCTCGACTGAATAAATAAAAAATTTTAATAATTTTAGCGCTGACAAACATCAGGTTCAGTGCCACTCGAGTGCAGTCCAAGATATGGAGACACTGGTATAGCTGTCTTTTAAAGTCTGTTTGTTTGTTATTTTCTTTTGTCGTGTCTGTCTGTATGTATTAAATTGGACCTAGAGTCTGTAATAAAGTTGAATAAAATTGAATATATAAACTAGGGATGTACCGAATCCAGGATTCGGTTTCGGATTTGGCCGAATATTGGCTTTTTTGACGGGGTTCGGTTTCTGGCCGAACCTCAGAATTTTTCCCCACTGAACCCGAACCCTGCACGTCACGGAAACCAGATTCGTCCGGAAGTGTAAATAAACATGCACTTTATGCATCCATCCATCCATTTTCTACCCTTTAATCCATTTCTGGGTCAGGGGGGTGGCAGTCAGAGATGCCACCCAAGTCTCATAGCACCAGCCCCTCACTGACCCTCTGCAGGTGGTGAGTCCACAGGAGGACGGCTGCTCTCTGAGTGTGAGCATAGCCAGTGTTTCCCACACATAGACTAATCTGTGGCGCACCGCCACAGATTAGAGACCGCCCGCCACAAATTGCGTTTCGTATTATTATATATATATATTTTTTTGTTACGCTATTTAAAACATGCATCGTCTAGTGCCGCCGCAGCGGTCAATTTGACAGCGGGGAGGGGGGTTTAAAATGTGGCGGCCCTTCGTAACTCTCACTCAAGCTACGCGTCTCTCCCACATACAGAGACCTACACACACACAGCCCCTCCCCTTCGTGCACACCGCGTGTCTCCGTCTCCATCAGCGATCATCGCTGTAAGCAGCTGTGTCTATTAATTTACCGCGGTAAAGTGGCCCGCATCTTTCAGCTCTATGAACATGCGGCCCGCATCGGGGAAAAGACGGTGCGCGTTTTGTTGAGAACTTACGGTAACAGCGGAACGTCCTTTCGGAGTCACCCATTTTTATCGAACAGAAAGCGCGCTGGGGTCAGGGAGACACGTTTTTGTGATTTAAACCTTATAGAGATGCCACCCGGCACACATAGCACCAGCCCCCTACGATTCCTCCGGCAGATTGTGAGTCCTCAGGAGGATAGCCACTCTATTGTTTACATATATAAAGTACACAATTTGGTCCGCTAGTGCAATTTTCAAGTATTGTAACTATTTACTGGAATAAGGTGTGCGACTAATTTCACTTGACTCATGACCTTATTATTGCCCTCTGCCACTGTACCAAAGACCAGAAACTTTTACTGTAGAAATATTGAGAAATATTGAGGTAAAGTAGCCATTTTGGTCCAAAATACCTCCAAAATAGTCAAAACATGTCACTTTTGATCTACTGTAACTTTTTACTGTAAAAAGGTGTGCGACTAATTTCACTGGATTCATGACCTCAAGATTGTCCTCTACCACTGTACCAAAGACCAGACACTTTTACTGTAGAAATATTGAGAAATATTGAGGTAAAGTAGCCATTTTGGTCCAAAATAGCCTAAAAATGGTCAAAACATGTCACTTTTGATCTGCTGTAACTTATTACTGTAAAAAGGTGTGCGACTAATTTCACTGGATTCATGACCTCAAGATTGTCCTCTACCACTGTACCACTGTACCCCACTCCCCCCCCCCCCCGCCGACGACCACCACACATTGCCTTCAAACCTGTGGGAAACACTGATAGCCTTGATCTTTCAGTGGGGGCTTTGGGCAAAGTGGGGTTAAGTGTCTTGCCCAAGGACACAACGACAGCAGTCATCAGTGGGAGTCGGTGGAGAAGGTGTAGAGGTGGGAATTGAACCCACGACCTTCAGGCCTGAAGGACAATGCTCTACCAACTGACGACTTTAGCGGAGGTTTATATCCTCTTGCTCTCTGTTGCTCTTTGGGTGCAGCGCGCTGAGGGCTTTTCCTGGTCATGTGATCGCCTCGGCCCAATTAGCTCTAGTTATATGCCGGTGTTTGTCTTCGCGAGGTATGTTCTGATTCTTGTTTTCACCTGTAATGCGGTTCTGATGGGATCATAAACTAACTGCCTATTCACCAACTTTTTAGAGCCGATTACCAGTGCCAGGTACTTGTCATCTGAGCTGCGTATGACTGTAGAAGCAGAGTTGGTGAGTCCATCTTTTGGCAACTAGCCTCTTAGCACTAGCTTCTCTCCAACTTGTCTCATTGTACGAGTTTGGCATATTTCTCAAATGTATTTGTGTTTAATAATAAGCTGGATTATTATAAATGTTATAATAAAAGATTCTGGTTGAGCTACATGTCCAATTTGCAATGCCCATTTGTCTCGTGGTGGTAAGGACCCTAAATAGCCATAACATCGCCGCTGGTAAAGCATTTGCGTTTGAAACATTAATGGACTGAGGATGGAATAGGATTCGGTATTCGGTTTCGGATTCGGCAGAATCTTAACCAGTGGATTCGGTATTCGGCCGAACCCCAAAAACCTGGATTTGGTACATCCCTAATATAAACCTTTATTTTTAGAGCGCTTTCCCCACAATAGGTAGCCCAAAGTGCTTCTCAGCCCACATCACATCAGGCATAAATCATCACATAAATCATGAACACTAAAACCCTTAAAAGCCAACATTAAGATCATACGCAACATTAAAACATACAAATCCCACAGGTAATTAAAAAACATTAAATCACACAAAGGATTGAAAGAATAAATAACCACAGTGCATTATAAAGAGTAGAGATAAAATCCTTAAATGTTATGTATAGGCAAACAGAACCTACTTCAACCTGGATTTGAACACTGTCAGAGTAGAAGCCTGTCTCACATTTTCAGGAAGAATGTTTCAGATTTTAGATGCATGAATGTGAAAACCAATGTGTCAATAATATGTCCAAACTTTAGCCAAGAGTGCAAGAAGAAACTGGAAATGCTACTTAATGCAAAAAAGTTAGTCTACAGAGTTGTCCGTATGATGACAGTCTGAGTTCTGTGTTTCCTATTGGACAAGAAGACTGTCCTGTTATATAAGACTCAAGCAGACGCTATACAAACCCTGGATAATGGTTGTATGACACAGAGATGCTGCCTACACTGTCAGGCCACGCGTTAAAGACTTCATTCACCTAAGTCTGATATTCTCTGTGTTATTGATTCTTTTCTCCCCTCAGTCCATCTTGGATCCTACAGCTCAGCCACTTAGGTCAGCCAATAATCTGAGCGTTTTAGATTATTTCAGGACTATGGCCTTCACGCGTCGTCCCACTTAAACCAGTTCAACATGACGTAAACAATGGGCAGATACCATAGTAAATATTAACGGACAAAGTGACGCCTATCTCGCCATTGAAAGTTGAGAGATCACTTTTCCCTCCTGACGTCTTTTTTTATATGACCGCAAGTGCGCATGCATTAGTTGCACGAGCCCCAATCATTTAAGAAGTGTATTCAAAGATCCACAGCGGCTAAACTAGAGTGGTCCTAGAAAAAACCTCAGCATTGACACGCATCTGGAACGTAGCGTTGAGCCAAGAGCGACTTTTGGACCATCCTGTAAAGCCGTTTTCAAGAGGAAGACAGACCTCATTCAAATTCATTGGATAATTCTGTTTCCTGTACACCACCACCGGCAAGGAGTCAGATTACAAGCATGTCATCGTACGTGCTCATGGGACCCTTTTGAGCCGGGACCCGCTCCCACTGGACCCTCCCCCATTGGACCTGCCCCACTGGACCTGGCCCCACTGGACCTGCCCCCACTGAACCCGCCCCCACTGGACCCGCCCCCACTGGACCCGCTCCCACTGGACCCGCCCCCACTGGACCCGCCCCCACTGAACCCGCCCCCACTGGACCCGCCCCGACTGGCAGATCCGAACAACTCACATATCACAACTGTAAAAAGGCGAGATCCGTGCGTCACCTGTCGAACGTGCGTCATCAACAATAGCTTAATGCGGAATATTTTTGTACACTTAATAATCGGAATCAGTGCCACGCTGCAGAATCATCCCCATATTACATCTTGCAGAAACTATTTGCACAATCGATGGCAGGCTTTGTTAATTCCACTCGGTTTCGTCACTCACTTTATCACCAGTTTCATTAAGCATGCACTTCATTCTGCCAACTCTCAACGGAAAATTACAAATTTCAATTATGCTCTTTAATGCATTACGGAGATACTGAGAGGTGGAGATAAGGCTCTTCGGCACCCGCCTGGAAAGGGATTGAGTGTTCAGCTGATTTTGTTGATGTTATGAATATTTAATTCTGCCTGATAACCCCAGAGGCTGATTTCAATGGAGTAGTTTGTTCAGTGCATTTGTGACACACAGACAGCATCTCCATTAGATTATTATTGTTCTGTAATCACTTTGATACATGTTTATGATTGACTGGATCACGGTAGCACCACCTGCATCTCAAATCCAGATCTCTAAGCTGAGCAGGGCCTGGTTAGTACTGTGATGGGAGACCTCTGGGAACACCTGATGCCACAGTAGGGTGACTGCGGCTGTAAAGTGTCAGACTGTCGTTGTGTCCTTAGGCAAGACACTTCACCCATATTGCCTAGAATGAGTCTGGTGTGTGTGTGTGTGTGTGTGTGTGTGTGTGTCTCAGTCATATTGCTGTCATGTGTTTTGTTGAGGGGTACTCTAAGGTATTGACTACATTTTTTGTATTGTATTGCAGTACATGTCCGAACGGCTGGGAGGGAATTGGATTAACCACTCTCGCTTCTTAGCAAGAAGGTCCTGGGTTCAAATCCCAGTTGGAACAGGACCTTTCTAAGTGGAGTTTGCATGTTCACCCCGTGTCTACATAGGTTTCCTCCAGGTGCTCCGGTTTCCCCAACTAAAAACATGCACAATAGGTAAATCCTTCAACTCTGGTCCTGACCAAGCCGAGCATCAACATCTGGAGATGGTTCCCAAATGCAGATGACAAAGTTCCCTACGGGGATGAATAAAGTGTATATATTTACCTTTTCAACCCATGAATAAAGGTGTGTATATCTCATCCATGTTTGAAATAAATAAACAAATGAAATTAAATGTTTCTGGCCCTTTTACCAAGTGAAGTGGACTCAATCAGGCCACAGTCCTCAATTTTATGGTCACCCGGGCATGTGCCTATATTTCCTCTAATATAATTGCTTGCAGAAAGGCCAATCTAAACTCTGGACTGAGGAGTCATAAAGTGAAGCCTGGAGATATTGTAATGTAAAATTGTAATGAGACGGCAGATTAAATTATCTTTCTGGTGATTACGCCTGCCCCACAGGACTTACCCCAATCTCTGCACCGGCTGAATCCAAAGACAGAAAGTGTGTCTCCATATAGCGTCTGACCTATAGGAGCAGTGCATTTAAATGTTACCCCACACTCTGCAAGGACTGACATTACATATCTTACATATTATCTCTGGGGCATTGCTCGCATAGCTTCACTTTCACATCAATGCAGTGCTCTTCAACCCCACTTTCAAGGAAATGGAAGCAGACCTCACACTGCAAAAAAAAAGATAAAATATAATGTAATAATTGCTTGATTAAAGTGTTTTTTTCCTAATTTGAGCACATTCTGACTGCCTTAAAACAAGATTTATCAATGTGACAAAACCATTTTGTCTTATTTAAAGAAGTTTTGTTTTATTTTTTGATTCCAAGGGAGACATTTCTTGTATCTTTTTAAAACAAGATCATTTTGCTTTGTACCTTTGGCAAATCTTGTTTTCAGTCAAATTAGGATACATTTGACCTATTTTTAAACATATTTTTTTATCACTTTTAGCTGGCAACAGAATCCTAAAACCTTAAAGGCGCTGATGTCCTCAGTTACTCTCCTTCTAAACTCTCGCATCCAGACACGTGATCTGAATGGTCTTTCTGTGGTGGAGGTTCTGGCCGGCAGCGGCACGTCCAGTGTTATGTCACACATTCCAGAGTCCCAGAGCTGTGTTTATGTTTAGACTCACATCCATTGACTGAGATCTTAACCACAACAACATGTCCAAACACTGCCCAGTGCTGTGGAGGGAGTGAGTGGTCTTGTCTGATCCTTCACTATACATCTGAGTCCAAAGGATCCAATGGGGCCCCAACTGCTGACATGTGAAATATTTGTCTATTTGTTTTTCCCTTTTAACAGCAAGTTATAATATGGACCTGTGTGTAAGTCTTTATGTTTCTGTCCATTTTGAAGAAATAATACAAAATTGTTAACAAACAAAAAATGTGAAATAATACAAAATTACAGCCCTGAAACTTCATAGGAGATAGAGGACAGCTAAAGTCAAAAACGAGAATTAATAAAGCAACAAATATTTGATCAAAATTGTAAAGAAACGTTTGTGGGAAGCCGGGTCGCTGTATAGGAAGTGTCCAGAGTTCAGGAGCAATTCTATTTCTTTGCTAAGGGTATTTAAAAGGGCGGCACGGTGGCTGAGTGGATAGCACTCTCGCCTCTCAGCAAGAAGGTCCTGGGTTCAAATCCCGGTTGGACCAGGGCCTTTCTGAGTGGAGTTTGCATGTTCTCCCCGTGTCTGCGTAGGTTTCCTCCGGGTGCTCCGGTTTCCCCTACCACTAAAAAATATGTACAATAGGTCTGGCATGTGCCTCCTGTACTGGCACCCCCACTCCCAAAAAATAACAATTGTAAACCGCTTTGAGACTCCAATGTGCAGTGAAAAGGCGGTATATAAATAAAGATTACTTACTTACTTACTTAAAAGTAATTTAGGTTTTGTCCTCTGCTTTTCATGTATATAGATTGGTATTAAAAGTTTGGGGGTCCCTGGTTTTGACTTCAAGCAACGCAAATATTTTTCTATTTCAGAAAGCGCCATCTTTCATAACACAAGTCTAATCCAACATCTGTTTTCAATTCTGAGCCAACCGGTTATGAACAAAATACACATAAATACAAGATTTGTTTTCATTCATGTTATAGATGCCATATTTTTGGGATAGTTGTCTCACAAATGGATGGTTAACTTACTATCCACTGCTATAAACGAAAAACTAAATTATAGAACTTACTTAAAGAATCAGATTAAATATGAAAAGATGCTTTATTTGGTTGAAATATAAAGACTGCCATCTTTCCGCCAAGACCAAGAAGCACTGTGTCTGGGTGAAAGAAGAGGCCAAGCTCTATACCACGGGGTAGTAGTATTAGAAGCCTGGTCTTACCACACCATTGTACACATTTAATTTTGTACTAAGGTCTGGATTTGCTACAATGAGCTCCGTTAACAGGTGGGAGCGGTTAACTCCTTTTGTAGATTGAAACGATTGGATCTAAGTTTACAGTGACGTATGTAATGAATACTGAGTGAGCGAGGCATTTAGCATTTAACCAAGCTTTAGCACAGGGGTGTCAAACTCATTTTGGTCCAGGGGCCACATACAACCTAATCTGATCTCAAGTGGGCCGGACCAGGAGATGCTCTACAAAAATATCCAAAAACGGTACAAAGTCCAACTTTTTGTGCACATAAACACATTTATTTAAAACTTCCTTTAAAACACTATCCTTTAATACTCAGTTTTCTGTTACAAACTTAAATGTAACAGTGAGTTTTCCATAGTGCAAATAATGTAATGTATTTACAATATTACATTGAAAATGGTATTTCACAATATGTATATTAATATTTGTATGTTAGCTTTGTTTTAAGGCTCATTACAGAGAAAACTTGCTCACAAAGGTAAAGTAGACAGAAAAAAGCACTTTAACACAGCACCTCAGCTTAACCATCTTCAGTGTGGTAAGGTCCATGGTTATGTTATTATCACATTAACCATCTTCAGTGTGGTCAGGTCCATGGTTATGTTATTATCACATTAACCATCTTCAGTGTGGTCAGGTCCATGGTTATGTTATTATCACATTAACCATCTTCAGTGTGGTAAGGTCCATGGTTATGTTATTATCACATTAACCATCTTCAGTGTGGTAAGGTCCATGGTTATGTTATTATCACATTAACCATCTTCAGTGTGGTAAGGTCCATGGTTATGTTATTATCACATTAACCATCTTCAGTGTGGTCAGGTCCATGGTTATGTTATTATCACATTAACCATCTTCAGTAAGGTCCATGGTTATGTTATTATCACATTAACCATCTTCAGTGTGGTAAGGTCCATGGTTATGTTATTATCACATTAACCATCTTCAGTGTGGTAAGGTCCATGGTTATGTTATTATCACATTAACCATCTTCAGTGTGGTAAGGTCCATGGTTATGTTATTATCACATTAACCATCTTCAGTGTGGTAGGTCCATGGTTATGTTATTATCACATTAACCATCTTCAGTGTGGTCAGGTCCATGGTTATGTTATTATCACATTAACCATCTTCAGTAAGGTCCATGGTTATGTTATTATCACATTAACCATCTTCAGTGTGGTCAGGTCCATGGTTATGTTATTATCACATTAACCATCTTCAGTAAGGTCCATGGTTATGTTATTATCACATTAACCATCTTCAGTGTGGTAAGGTCCATGGTTATGTTATTATCACATTAACCATCTTCAGTGTGGTAAGGTCCATGGTTATGTTATTATCACATTAACCATCTTCAGTGTGGTCAGGTCCATGGTTATGTTATTATCACAATAACCATCTTCAGTGTGGTACGGTCCATGGTTATGTTATTATCACAATAACCATCTTCAGTGTGTAAGGTCCATGGTTATGTTATTATCACATTAACCATCTTCAGTGTGGTCAGGTCCATGGTTATGTTATTATCACAATAACCATCTTCAGTGTGGTACGGTCCATGGTTATGTTATTATCACAATAACCATCTTCAGTGTGTAAGGTCCATGGTTATGTTATTATCACAATAACCATCTTCAGTGTGGTACGGTCCATGGTTATGTTATTATCACATTAACCATCTTCAGTGTGGTCAGGTCCATGGTTATGTTATTATCACATTAACCATCTTCAGTAAGGTCCATGGTTATGTTATTATCACATTAACCATCTTCAGTGTGGTCAGGTCCATGGTTATGTTATTATCACATTAACCATCTTCAGTGTGGTACAGTCCATGGTTATGTTATTATCACAGACTCTCTGGGCGGCACGGTGGCTGAGTGGATAGCACTCTCGCCTCTCAGCAAGAAGGTCCTGGGTTCGAATCCCGGTCGGACCAGGGCCTTTCTGAGTGGAGTTTGCATGTTCTCCCCGTGTCTGCGTAGGTTTCCTCCGGGTACTCCGGTTTCCCCTACCACTAAAAATATGTCCAATAGTTCTGGCATGCGCCTCCTGTACTGGCGACCGCGCTCCCATCTCTGTGTGGAGTGAGAGACAAATGCCCAAAAATTAACAATTGTAAACCGCTTTGAGACTCAGATCTGCAGTGAAAAGGCGGTATATAAATAAATACTTACTTACAGAGAAAGCATCAAACTGACCATGATTCCGTTGAAATGAATAAAACAACTTCCATAACGTGATCCATTCTTAACGACTGCAGCAGTGTCTCTGTGTAAAACACAGTCAAATGTCCAAAAATCATCACCTCCATTTGCAGCTTTGTCACTACACCTGTTTTTACCATCGGTACCAGTCCACACTGTCCAACACACCAGCAACAACAGCAGAACCAGCAGCAGCACCAGCAGCAGCGCTCAAAACTCCTCTGATAGTTTCAGTAACACCACAAATGAATATGTGACATCAGTAACATCAGTCTCTTATCGATGGCAACATGTTGGTAAAAGCGAGTGGTTTCTCAGACCATGTCTGCAGCCTGTGAGAGTTTTAACAAACTCTCTCTCACTGTGCGGCTGCGATGCTAATGCTAATGTTGTTAGCACAGGTAGCTTCCCTTCACAACAGCAGAACTAACCTCTCGCTCTGGGCACAAACAGACTGCTGTGTCTTCAGGGCCAGACAGGTTTATCTTCTGTTTTCTCAATTCTCCGCTCAAAGTGCCGTATTTTTCGCCGAGTCTTGTAGTTTAAGATGTTATTCCTTCAGCACCGCTCTGGTGGAGCCACTACAGACGCACTGGACTCACCCCTGAGCGCGGCGCTGCGGCGTCGCGTCGCGGAGCCTCGCGTCGCCTCGCGTCGCGGAGCGGCTTTTTAAAATGTATTATTATTATATTTTTACATAAATGAGCCGCGGGCCGTGTCAAATCTCTTGGCGGGCCGGTTCCGGCCCGCGGGCCGTATGAATGACACCCCTGCTTTAGCAGTTAGCCTAGCTTTAGCCATCTCCGTTGCCACTGACAGAGCCCGTGGGGAGTAGAACCACAACATCTTTGCCAGCAATGAAATTTGTTAAACATTTCTCTTGCTCCAGCTTAAATTTTTTGATGTTTGGAGCCGAACGAGAATGGATTGCAGAGCTTACTAATAATAATAATAATAATACATCGGTTTTATATACCGCTTTTTTGGACAGTCAAAGACACTTTACATGTGTCATTATTCATTCACTCCAAACACGGTGGTGATAAACTACTACTGTAGCCACAGCTGCCCTGGGGCACACTGACAGAAGCGAGACAACCAGTATGTGCCATCGGCCCCTCCGACCACCACCAATCATTCATACACACACCAGACTCATTCTAGGCAATGGGGGTGAAGTGTCTTGCCTAAGGACACAACGGCAGTTTGACCCTTTACAGCCGCAGCCGCCCCACTGTGGCTGGTGTTCCCAGAGGTTAAGTGTCTTGCCAAGGACACAACAACAGCAGACATCAGTGGGAGTCGATGGTGAAGGTCGGGCTCGAACCCACGACCCTCTGGCTCAAAGGCCAATGCTCTTGGCCTATCGCATTCGCCTCCATTGCCAAAGTACAACCAGCAAATTCTGCGCAAACTGTTGACGTCACCGACACCAAACTACAACACACGCCTCCCACGTTCGCTGATTGGTCGGAGGGGATTCAACCGAGGTAAGAGCAGACACTAGGATCAGACCCAGACGTAC